ATTTAAGACTAATTTTTCTATTAAAATTCTTGATTATTATTTCATCATATATTAAATTAGACAATTAGAAGTTGTGGTAATCAGTACTAATAGATCATTATCATTTCTTATTTTATGTTATTAAATGTGATCCATTTTATATTATTAAATAGGATTTTAATTTCTTCTTAATATTTTAGTTCCGGGTCCTGGAGAGCACTCCAGATTACTCAGCTATCCCTTCCATTTAAAAAGAGTTTTAGTTAAAAAGATCTCATTATTATGTTTTCAAAAGAGTGAGTCTGATTCAAGTAAAATATAAAAATCAGGAGATGATTTCTCCTCCAAGTACAAAGTGTTCACAGAAACGGCTATCTTGTGTGCTCCATGAGGGGGAGATCTGAAGACCAGAGTTTGTTTCTGGTCTCAGATGTGGAAGCTCTTGGATATTTCAGGGCCATTATCAGTTTTCTTCATCAGGCCTTGAAGGAAGCTCGAACTACTCTCCCCCTAAGAGGCTGAGGGGGGCGAAAATTATTCACCATTTGGATCCTCTGGTCTTCCTCACTGGTGAAGAGAAGAGTTCGGAATTTCTCCAGCTGTAAATTCATGTGAAATAACTTACTGCTTAAAGGAGAAATTGATATCAATGTCTTTGAAAAAGGACCAAAGGAAAGCATTCAGTACTTTACAGTCTGTCAACAGTACAGGTTAAAGCAAAGATCCTAGAGGGTATTAATAGGAGAAATAGAAGCCCTCTGATTATTAAAGTATTCACAGCCTAACTTGCCCCCTCTGCAAAATGATACAGTCACTGCCTTTAATCCAAGGTTGAATCCTACAAAAACTGGGAGAATATCAGAAGTTTACCTGTTTCTCAGAAATCCTGATGGGTTCTTTCAGCACTATCCATGTTACACTCTCATTAAGAGGCGGTGTTGTCAAGGAACCAGGATATGTCCAATAATCTAGACTCAAAGGCAGGAGACATTTGGGGTTGAAGCTTCTAAATTGAGCTTTTGTCCCCTGGAAAAAATTGATACTTTAAATTTCTTTCTTTCTTCTTTCATGTGCATGTTAAAGGAGTCTAAAAAATGGCGAGGCGGGGGGGGAGGAGAAGCAAACCTGTGGTGGCTTGACTGCCTCATAACGGTTGGTATCTAAGGGTAGCATGAAGATAGAATAAGGAAAACATTACACACTGTAGTGTGGCAAGTACGACCTCTATTGCTAGCTTCCTAGGCTTTGAGAGGTCTTACCGCATTGCCTCATTGAGAGGTCTTGCCGCATTGAAAAAAGCGCTCAGCTTTTTTCACAAAAGGTCCAAAAACAGTGTATGAAATATTTTGTGTATAACGTCCAGTGTGAGTTGTAGATAATAACATGTGACCCTAAGTAAGGAGTGGCAGGACTCTGACTTGTTACTTGCTATTGTCTATGCCTTCCATCTACTTCAGTAGACAGTTTGAAATTATGAAAGACTTGGCCCAAGACAGTCATTGTCTGCTGAGACAAATACTAGCTTTAAAGTAAAACATGCAAGTCTAGAAGCAGAGCACGATGGATCAATCAAAAAACCAGTAGAAGGAGCCCAAACAATACTTTGACAGGTGCTGTGTCTAAAGTGATTGCCTTCAAGGCTATCACAGTCCAGGGCAAGATTTTTCAACCTGTGGTTGTATTCAGGAATATCTTCAAGGTATTTAGTCACTCACATTAAGAACACTGTCCAACTGTCTGTAAAATTGCTCACAAGGAACAGAATGAGCATATTATTCCCAGCGACAGACCTGCAGACCTTCCATCACTACAACTGAGGGATAACACTTTCTTTCCTATAAGTGGAGGACATCACTTTTATTAAATATCAAAATACAGTCAAATGTATCTACATGTTGCATTTAACAATTGCTTTTACTTCTCATCTTTCTTATGCATATATAAGAGGAACAAGGAATAATATGCCTAAATATGTCTATTCAAGTATTACATACAGTTTATTTTGCCTTATTAGGACTCATGCGTGTGACAGAGTGCATTAACCCCATGTAAATCAAAAAATTAACGTGGTGGTGGTCTGTCTAATCGATCTGAGCTTCAACAAATGCAGCAGGTAGCCTTCAGCAAAGCTCTCAGGCATATCTGATTAAAGGCTACCTTTAGGTCTCACTGTGGAAGGGCAGACTAGCTCTTGCTCCCTGACAGAGCTTTCCAGTAGAATTAAGCTGGACAACCAGCTTTGACTTATTCAAGGCTAGGCTTGATGGAAACAGATTTTGCTGAGTGGAAGAGCTGAACCTGAAGGGTCATGGAGCTTTTGATTTTAGACAGTCCAGGAAAGGTAGAACCTCAGAATGACTAAATGGGGTCAGCGTAGCATTGGGAAGCATTTGAGGATAGAAAAATCAGCCAAAATTTGGCGAGGAAGGGAATGGAGGCATTGGACAGGGAGGATACAATTTCAGTGATGTTCTATTGATGGCAGGATTTATGGTGGGCAGTTTTCTCTTTTTATTGTTTGCGTCTCAGACATGTACATGAGCTTAATATTTAAAGGATATTCCAGAAAGAAAAAATAAGAGCTTAAAACTTACTTTAAATTTTACCATGTAAAAAGCATCAGTGAGTCTGTTCATATTGGCGTGTTCTTTCCCAATCTAAAATAGCAATGCACAGATTAAGTGACTATAATTATGTTAGAAAATTAGGTAGAAAATTATTTTCTTATCTGAATCTCAAAATTCCTACTAAAGTAGATTTAACAACAATTTGCAAAGAGTTATTGCTTCCAATCAAGTCATCTGTTTTTGCTAATCACCTCTTAAATATGTGGCTTGGTTCTCAAACATTTGACAGTACGATGCTTTTCATCATGTAAATATGCTATTTTTGAGATTCTTACCTCCAAGAAAACACCAACTACTGCCAAGCCATCTGGGGCGGCTGCTGCTTCTCCAAATGTTGCATATTTTCTGGCATTCCAGTGAACTAAGTGGAGCTTTAAAAGAGAGTAAGAAATAGGAACAAATTAAAGATAAAAGCCTTCAACATAGGTTGCCTCATGTTTAGCAGGCAGTAACACCAATTGGTAACAGAATATAAGCTTTGCTTGAAGGCATATTTGGGAAGATTAGCAAGTTCTAAATCAGTCTTTTGGATCAGTTAGTAAGCATAGGCAGGCACTAAGCAAAGAGATCTTTTAAATCAATCTTAATTTGAAACAAATCAGGTGTTAAATGATTCTGTGATCTAGCTAACTTCCATGATAGGGGCCTTCAGCCCATGAAGTGCTGTGCTCCACTCCTCATTGGTGGACTATGGGATGTTACCCTATCGTACAATTTGGGATAGACCTTTCTGGGAAGCGCCAGTATTTGGTTCTAGCTTTGCAGAAAATTCTCAAGAGCCCCCAAAAGAAGCCATTTCTAAGCTATGTATAGCAGCAGCATGGTCATTTTGGATCATGGTCATCAATTTAACTGTGTCGGGTAATGGAGTTACTCTGTGCTTTTCAGCATCATGTTTGTGAATGTCCTTTCCATCTACACAAACAGAAGGGTGCAACGGATGGTGTTCAGCAGACTAAACTAGGCAGTAGAGGGCTGTTAGACATAGAAGCAGTGCTTTCTGGGAGGAAAGCAGCTAAACCATGGGACTAGCTGCATCTTGCTGAACTGAGTAAGAAAGATGATTGAGAACCTTGGAGAAAGGGCTGCACTGGGGAGAGAAGTTTGCATTCCAAAGCAGGGCAATCGACAGATGAGCTTGAGTGGGTGAAAGAAAAATCCTCACTCAAGTCTGTGCTGACCTAACCATGGTGAGTGAACATCGGAATCTCAGTGCACTTCCAGTCCCCGCTGCAGACAGTGTTGTGTCAGTGTTTGCATGATTTAATCCCATCTGTAAAAACACATTGTTACCTCTGAGGGAAAAGGTTTGCCGTCAATTGTGTGCTCCGATCCCTGACTGTGCTTTGTCCCCCAGTGAAAGTGAAACTGCTTTAGCCGAAAGGGATTCTCAAAGGGACCACCACTGATTGCTAAGCAGAAATGAAGAAGAAAATAAAGATTATATATTCTGGCTTTTTAACTTCCTGTTACTAAAAACTAATTGGTATAACAGTGAAAAAACAGCAGCTTCTCCAGTTGCCAATACAAAAGGATGCATCATCCAGACATGTAGAAGGGTAAGATCTCTTCATGGAGAACACCTGAATTTGCAGAAAAAGTTATATTGAAAAGAAACATTTTGAGTAGCTACTTGTTCAGAATTTCACAACATTTGTTTTGCTTTTGAAAGAGTAGATTTGACCTGTGAAGCTCTAGTAGCTTTGTTACAGTTTTACCCTTCCTATTTAACTTACAGAAAAGTAAACTAATTTGTTTATTTAAAAAAAAATCATAATAGAACTTTTGTGCATCTAAAATTTTTTGCCAGTGCTACATGGAATTTTGTGCAAAAGAGCATTGATATCTCAAACATCAAGTAGATAATTCAGCCAAGTATTTCCTCTTCAGAATGCTTTCCTTCCAATAGAAATTCTCTATATTTTGTTTCCTTTAAATACACGATCCTGTAAAATAATAGCTTGGACTTGACATAACACCATTCAGAGGGTCTCAAATCACCTTCTAAAGGTGGGCAAATGCTACACAGAAAGTTTATACATCATTTAGAAATAACACTTAACAAGAACAGATGATGCATATGTGTAAGAAGCTACCTATAGAAGATATTTTATCAGTGTATCAGTAGTTCTCTTGTGCTTTTATGGGACATTAGAAAATCAATAAAATTCTGTCCAACAGACATGAAAATCTAATCATCTAGATCTTTAAGAAATATTTAAATTGGACATAATATTGGTAAAACACTTTTCTATCCTCTGTGCAGACCATGGCATTATATTCATTCAAAAACCTTTAGACTTGAGGCATGCACTGTACCACCACATACGCATAGTTCCAGCTGGCCTTTGTGCAAGAAATGGTCTTGGCAAAACAAAGCTCTTTCGTTCAGCAAAGCATACCACAAGTTACTTAATTTTGTTAATTAATACTGCATACTGGAGTGTGTCACTTCTTTCAAAAAATCTAGTTCTGATGGGGTACTGTCAGAAGTCTGTTATATCATTTATGCAGATCTGTGAGTCACTAGATCTATTTCAATGGAACTAAAAACACTTTAATCCAGTTTTACAATCCTAGCAGTCTTCTTCCTTGAAGTGTCACAAGGCTTCTCCACGGTACAGAAAGGGCAGAGGTCTTCATTCCTGCCTATGCTCTAAGACTGCCTGCTTTTGCTCCCATGTCTTTATCTGGAGGAGCAATGTACAGTGCTCTTAAAACTTCTGAAACTGTGTAAGGTTCACTGTTATGTAGGTAGAGTCCAGCCTGGAATGAAAGTAGTAAGCAAGTTAAGATAATACTTCCAGATACATTTTACAAATTTTATAGGATGACATGCCACGCTTACGAATCTTATGTAGTAAATTCTGGGAAATGTACATGCATAGTCTTCCTCTCAAATTCAGTAAATATCCTTGAAGAGTGACTATTCATTTGGGCTGTTTAAGTTCATTCAAGAGGAGACATTTTAGAACCGAATGACTAGAATTTTAACCCTCAGCCATGGCAGCTTTGAGATTATTTCAAAGGGTTACCAGTCCCTTCCCAGAAAGTAATTTTGACTGTCTATTATATCCTATTTATCTGGAGTCAATGAACATAACCAAATGGAAAGTGAAAATCAATTGATAACAGGTTAAAATAAAAACTCATTAGTAGGAAGTCCTGTTTTAAATGCACTCTTCCATTTATCAGCTACCAGTTTTTATAGTCTCCAGTTCATCTTAATGCTATTTTTTAGTATAGATGTAAAAGCAAAATCTTCCATGAGGTAGCATTAACAGAATCAGTCACTTAAATCATTTATATTCACTCTGCCAAGAGCTAAAAGAGGCAAGAATAATGTAACTGCAGATGTAGCAGCTTGTATATGTTGCACTCAAATCAGAATTAGCTGAACACTATAATTTCTGAAGAAGCCATACTGCTATGGGGCAGTAAGGAAAGAAGAAAACAGTGCGAGATAATAATCAGTGACTGGTCTAGATACAAATAGGCCTGGTGCAGTATGATTATGATGACTATGCTAAATGATCTGATACCTGTTGATCCTACTCTTTTCCCTTCCCCTGTGCATGGAAACTAGGCAATAAGCCAGAGTGAGCTGGGACATGCTAGTATCTCTGATTTGGATGACCATGGAAACAGGATTGTGAGGAGTTTAGATACCTACCTTGCATGCTGGATGGGGTCTGGGAGTGCTAGAGAGCTGCAGGGATGCTATCTAGCAAACTGACTATTCCTATTTTGAAGGAAGCACTGCAAACAAACTTCAGAGGGTCCTGCTGCAAGTTCTTCCTCATGCAGAAACACTATTCTATTATGTAACATAAAGCATTGCTAGAGAGACTCAAGACAAAAAGAAAGCTCAGTAAAACAAAATAAAAGGTTCTGGTTACATACCTTGTCCTAAGTTAAAAATACACATAGCATAAAATATACTTCACAGGATGTACTTAATTGTTTCTCCTTACTAAGCCACGAAATGGTATTCTGAGTTACTTGTCTGTGTGTGCTAGTCTCACCTGTCTTGTCATCGGTGTCTTCAAACTCAACCATAACTGAATGGCCATTGTTGGAGATGTTGAGAGATGTACATGATTCATAGGAGATAATAAGCGGCTTCAGACTAGGGTCATAAACTGCTTTTGCAGAAACTATATCAATAGGTGATTGACGGTTCCCTTGGGCAATAGGATAAGATTTGTACCACTCAGCGGGTCCTTCAAAACCAAAGAAAGGAAAGCACTGTTATTTTCTTCCTGCTGTACACAAAATAAGCATTACAGGTTTTCACGAGGCTTGAAGGGAAGCTTGCCGAGCAGGAGCTACTTAGAAGTCTGGCATCCAAGGAGCTGACTTAAAATCTAAAGATGGTGTATTTTTTAGTAGCACAGTCAGCAACTAGATGGAAGATTCAGATATGTTTTACAAGACATACTGAGGAAACTACAACACATCTACAGACCCAGATCTTTGGTTACTTATGCCACTAGTTTTCATGTCAAGTTGGTAATTACACTGGAAGGACTTCAGATATCTTCACAAGATGAGTGTGTGTAAACACTTGCATGAACACACATATGCATGCACACCCACAGAAAGAGCATTTACTTCTTCCTGGATAAGACAGTGTAAAAGCTCCAGTGATTCAAATTAGATGCAGATGACTCAATCTTTCAGCTACTGATTATGTAGTTATTTTTAAATCCATTTTATGACTGCAGTAAGTCTTTGAGGCAGCTTCATCCTTCACTCATGCCCATTACGGTATCTTTCTACCCGGAATGATCAGTACAATGTGATTAACATTTTTGGGCTGCGTGACCACAATAGAGTGGGGTGAAAGACCAATTTAATCATATAGCTCCCTTGCCAGAACTGGAACATTCTCATACAGTTTGAGATAACAAAACCATATCTGGTTCAGAGAATTGCTTATTGTGACCAATTCTCTTTTTCTACTTTTGTATTGTGCTGCAAAAAGCCATTCAATTTCTCTACTGCTAACATTCAGAAAGTTTTTAACAGTAACAATTTCACTTTAAGATTCACAATAAGCACATTTTAACTGTAGCATTCTCACATAGTTTCACAAGTGGAAATTTTTTCATCAAGCACAGATTGAAGCTAAGCCCCTGCTTGAATCTAAGCAAGAAAAAATATGATCTATTACATTTTTACTTATCTTTGGCATGTATAGAAGAGTTAAGCATATAAAGTAATACCTTTTCCTTTTCTCAGCCTGCTTATAAAGCAGATTTGGGTGTTAAGTTCTGTTGCACAAGCTTAGACAATAATTTGTCTTTTCCTAAGCTTTGCAGTAATATATATGACTTTATTAGTGCCTAAACACATAACACTGTCTACCAGAACTGTTCACTGAGTGTTCAAGCTTCCTTTTGGATATATAGCAACTAAAGTAATTGCTGTCAAAGAGTGAGGAAGAGACTGGCTCCTGAAGGCTATGCAAACCCTATCTTGTCAGGTGACATTAGTCATTCATCCATCATTCTCTGCAAAGGATACAAATGCTGTACCAAATTACTGTAGGAAACTTCCAGTAGCTTCATAAATTCTCTCACTTTCTGACACACATTCTTGGAGATGGGAAACAAAGAAAGAGAATGACTAAATTAAAAACACTGTCAAATCAGAAAGGGGAGTTTGTTCAATAAAAGGCATCTGATGCTGTTCTGTACAATTCATGGATATTCTAGAAGTTTATAACATACTTCTGTGGAAGCCTAGATATCATATTTCAACAGCTGTACGGGATCAGATCTGTTACTGCTCTTCTAAGTCTTCTTTAGACAGAAGAATTGTTTTGAGAGAGATAAACACAGTTAAGTCATTTTCATAGCATCTTTTTGGAAAAGGACACATCTCTAGTATCTGCAGTACTGCTTGATTGCAGAACACTGATTACATTGCAACAATGCAAAGCAGCAGGCAGAAGTTTGTGCGTCTTCTGGTGCCAGTTTCTGCATGCTATTTATTATCAATCAAGTAGTTAATTACCTGCTATATGTATTTGATGTTTGCAGACAGTGAAATGCTGGCAGCTCTGCAGGGCTCAGACAACAGTACTTAAAAGAAAATGAAGAAGCAGGAGGAGGGGGGAAGATAGATGCAGCATGGAAAGGATGTAACCTACCGTCTTCCTGCCCATATCCCCAACCGTGATGACCAGTCATTACAGAGAAGCTGTGCCCTGCTTTGCTCTCAGCTATTTGCTCAGGGCACTGCTGCTTACCTGCCTTTATAAAGGCTCACCGTGGGATTAGAGTCAGCCTCTTAAAGACACAGAGCAAGTGAAGCAACTCCTGCAGGACGAAAGCGATTTCCTGTTCCCAACTTTGCTGCTGCTACACTTGCTGCTGCTTGCTCTGTATCCTAACTCAGTGTAGGAAAAGGAAAACGTAAAACTCAGGTAACTGATGTCCTAGGACTTAGGAACCGAAGTTGTCTAGGTGGCAACTAGCAAAGTTTTTGTACACAGAGATCAAATGCAGGAAAAAAAAGTAGTGTTTTCCCATTCTCCACCCACAAGCAAGCAACAGCCTATGACCTGCCAAAGAGTGAGCATCAGGGTACAGTAACATGTGCAGATTGTAAAGGGATGTACCCATCTTTCTTGGGTACTCTGCAGGAGAAGCATCTCCTAGCTGTTGCCCTTTCTTTTCTTACACGCTCTCTTCAGCTGCAAAAAAATAATGATGTTACTACTTGATTTGCAATTAAACTTCAGAATAAATACTTAGAAGAAATGGAGAACGTTCTTACCTCAGAAATACTGATTTGTGCTTCCTTTAAACTAAGCAAGACCACACCAGTTATGGATAAACTGACTATTTGATTTTTTTCTCTGTAAATCTAAAGAAACTTTTTAAAAGACAAAAAGAAAAGTACTTAGCTCAGGGAACAGGACATGGCAGACTCTAGAGAATGGAGCCAGTTTATGAAATCTCAGTGACCTGGTGTGATCCAGTAGTTGCCAGCATCCTGCTAAACTCATGAAGAAGCTACAGCGAGTTATCCAGTGTGCAGATGTAAAAGCCGTTAAGACATCTTCGTGGCAAGAAAAATGGCTTCTTAGCTGTAATTTTATTAGATTGAAGGGAATGCAGTCTGTCAAGGCTATGTTTTATAAACGTATCATTGATTTTCACAAAAACTATAGCACACACACTTAGGGATTCTCCTATTATGCAGCCAAGAAAATAAAAGAGGCAATAATCAATGAAAGCATTTTAAGCAACTTTTATATTGTTGTGCTACCTTTTAAGAATTCATTTGCTTTTTCAGGAGCTTTCCACAGGAGCCAGATGTGGAACCTTTGAGATGTACTCATGCAAGCTAAACCACTCAATAAGGGATCTAAACTTCTATAAAGGTGTCCACAGAGCAATTTCACAGTGATTTACTCAGATCAACTTCTCAATTTACTTGTGGTAAACGAGCACGATATACTTACACCCCTGAGTAGGCCGGATGGCACTGATACTGCAGGTAGGTCTAGGTGGCTAAAGAGTGCCATACACAGGTACTCAAGGTGACTCAAGTACTGGAAGCAGTATAACTGTGTTGGCATGGGAAGCCATTGGGTTAAAATATTCTGCTGCTTAGTAGGACTCATTAGCTGAAAGAAGATTTGACGCTTCTGGTTCCTATTTTAGCTTGGCTCTGTGCTGGCTTTGTAGACGTACACAGAAATCAGATATGGATAGAGTCAATCTGAGGCAGCTAATCAGTAAAGCTGTTCTAGACCATGGGGGAAAAAAAAAACCAAAATTATCAATTTACCAGTGACAAGAAGAAATGGAAGAGGAATTTTGCATCTTAAAAAAGCATTGAACAGATTGGGGAAATTTTGTATTCAAGGCAGAGAATACTGAGCAGTTATTTTCAAGAGAAACTTGAAGACTGAGACTCAGCTTTTGCTCTCAGGGCACAGTGCCACTGAAGTGACCTAATGTCTATGTGCATTTGATACCATTCAGCACATAAGTTTTTATCTTGTCATATTCAAAAACATGATGGCTAAATATGTGGCCTTCAAAGGAAGGGCACAGGAGAAAACTGCAACAAGAGAAAGTGTGCTTAAGATATGACAGGAAGTGGACATTTTTTTACAAAATGGAGGTTTAAATAGCTGGATTTAGAAAAAGTGAAAAGGGGAGTGATGATAACTTAAAAGAACAGATAAAAACAGATCGAATACCATTTTAGCTATGAACGATAGCCAGTGTATAGATAGAATGACAGACAGTGTTTAATGCACTCCCTCATCCAATCGGCCTTGTTTCTTTTAGAGGCAAAAATTAAGTTTTCCTTAAAGCTGGGGTGATACTAATGTGTATACAAATATCAGATTATTCTGTAACCCTGATGTCTCTCAATACTAGCTGCCTCTGATAATGCATTTTCACTGATTGTGTCCTCAAAATATTGTTCAAGAATATCACTTAAATAGTTACAGGTAGTAATCATATTCTGGTCTTATTTTCACTGGCTTAAATCAGAGATAATTACATCACACTCATAAAGTCAAACTTACAGAAGCAAAAGAACAGAGTGGCAGATGCTTAAAAGTTACATGTCTCCAACGCTGAGTCAGTACTCGTGATTTTCACAAATTTCCCAAGGGCTCGAACTACATCTTAAAATTTGTCTGCTTAGCAGTGAATGACAGGAAGACATAATTCCATCTACCACAGTGAAACATTCCAGGCTGCTTTCAAGAATAATTCTATCTTTGCCACAGTCTTCATACTTAAGTTTTTGATTCCTCTTTTACAGTAATGATGAATGAACAGACCAGCAGCCTAGGACAAATACACGGGTTGTTTTTCTGAACCTGTCACTACATTATGATACTGAAAAGATGAGAAATGCTTCAGTTTTCCCATTACTATATAAGGAATAATTTTCTTTATGATTTAATTTGATGTCCCTCTATTAAAACTGCTATATAAGAACTAGCCATTGTTGTTAGAAAGCTCCAAGCAAGACTGGAATTGGTAAATAAAAGTTGAACATATCAGGCTTTGCAGGTTTGAGAAAACTGAATTTCTGAGTTTCTAAGGTGAGTTTTGATCTATAATCCAGATCTGGAGTCATTTGGAAATATTTGCGCTAGGAAATTATGTCCCTTGGAGATAATACATTTAATATACAATAATGCATCACTGTAGAGAGCAGAGTTCAATTATAGGAGACATAAGAGGAAAGGGTAGTTATTTGCTTCAAAGCTGAATGGCTACAGGGTGCTGTAAGTGTTTTTGCTTCAGTAGCTCGGCAATTATCTTTTTCGAGTACCCTCAGTAATAACAACATTTATAATTAATAATTTAATATTTGAAAAAGGTGTCGTGTGCCTTCTTCGTTTAACACACGTAAATGTGTCTGATGTGTCATTGCCTATTAACAAAACATGGCAGAAATACAATCAGTTTGGATACAGGCTGCACACCCTAGTACATTTGAAGAACAGTAGATAGGAGCAGATTAAATGTTAAAACATTCATCACTCCAGAGCTTGCCTGCACCTCAGGTTCTTGAAAGAGTATCTAGTTTATCCAGACAGCTCATCTCTCTTCTTACATTGCAATTATTAATGCTGGCAGTTTCTAAATGGGAGCTATACTAGTGGGATAGCTGTTTTTTATGTGAGACTTAAAAGAATTTCTAATCAATCCAAAAACTGTACAAAAATACAATATAAATATGAGCAGGAGGAAGTGCTGCCAACACCAGATAGTAAAACTCAGAATCATCCCAGAAAAAAAATTAATAGTTTTGGATGTTTTATTTAAAAAATTGTGACAACCTTCACTTGTTGTTTGGCAACATAAATTTTGTATTCTGAAGTTTTTCTTTGCAAACAAAAAAAAAGCGATTGTGACTGTAGGAATAAAAACCGAGATTCCCATGTGTCTAATGTAACTTCTGGAGCTGGAGCACTAACCCTACTCCCACAGCTGTATTTTGAGTTTCATGAGATTTCAAGGGGAAAGGCCCTGACATTTATTTACTGGGCATCTCTTCCTGGCATAAGGGATAAGACAAAAGGAAGGTTTCCTAAGAAAACAAAGGATTGAGAAGAAAAGGACATGCATAAAACTAACAGACAATTCTGCAACCTGAGTAAACCTGAGTAAAATATGAAAAAGAACAGAGAAGGCCAAGAGAAGAGCAGGAATTTGTTAGAAACATTCTGGGCAAAGTGGAGCAGGAAAGGAACGAGGAGTTGGGTGCCTGGCACCCTAGGAGCTTCCCAGCCTTCATGTGCTATTTGTTATATAACCTGTCTTTGACTTCTAAAGCAATACATGTTTGATTGCTTTATGCTAGAAATAGGGACTCTGTTTTGGAACTAAGTCTGAAAAAGTACTTATAATTTATGGTTTGACCAGTGGAAACCATGTAATTGTAACAGATAGCAAGAATGGAACGACCTGACTTTTGACATTGGTAAACAGAATATTCCTACTAAATATTTTAACAGTTGGTGAAATTTCAACAGAAGGAAGGATTTACTGTGAGATAGCAAACACACAGCCTGAGAAAAATGAAGTTTGGAGGAGATACTGTATATAGGGGGAAAAAAAAAGAGGAAGCACTATATTATCTTGCAAGGTCATCTACGCAGTATAAAGCACTAAATTATAATAGAATTGTTGTATATTGTATTCCAGAAGATATGCAGCAAACTCATTTTCTAAACGGAAGCAGATTAAAAAGATAACAACTTGTACGTGCTAACAAATCAGCCGGAATGAGGAAGAGGCTTTAGGACCTCTTTGGTTGTTGAAATTTACTAGCAAAAAAATAGGTTGAAATTGTTAAAGATGCAAAAGTTTTCTCTTTTACAAACTGTACCGATCCTATACGGCAGGATTTTCATAGCAGAAGAACTTAGACCCAACAAAGATTTCCAATGTTACTGTCTCAGTGGTACAGTAGTTAGTAACGATTGAGACAGCGCACGCTCTCTGCGAGGAGCAGCTGAACTCATTTTTGTGGCTGTAGGTACCTCAAGGCCACTGGCTCACACTGCCACAAAGTGCTTCAAAACTTCTTATCAGAGACTGAGACTTGAAAAGAAATTTCCATTATGAATAGAAAAATCCAAAAATGACACCATATTTTTAGGAATACGTTCGCAAGGGAAGAGCCTCCTCTGCTTCTGCCTCCGTCACCCTCAGGGGTCCGTCCCCAGGGGAAACGAGGACTGCTCTCTCAACCCGTGGTTTTTTTCTACCGCTTCCCAAATGGATGTGTCAAACGTCATTAAGGATGATGGCAACTCTTCTCATATCCTGGCCGGAGTTAATAAAATCCCTCTGGCAGCACAAATGTTTCACGTATTTACATAAAATTCAAGCACTGCTAGTGATGCACACAAGGACGTCAGGGGAATACTTCAAGCCCAGCAGCGCAGCCCGACGTCCCCGAAACCCAAGCCGGGAGAGCTCGCAGCCCCGAGGATGACGGCGGTCGGGAAGGGCACCCCGCGAGGCAGCCGCGG